CATATATATATATATATATATATATATATATATTTATATACATATATATATATACAGATATAGATATATATGTATACATATATATACAAGTATATAAAAAAATATTTACCTTGTATATGTTATATTTGCTAAGTTTTTGTATAGGGTTATCTGCTGTATTACTGCTGGCTAAAAAGAGATTCTACCTTATTTTTGAACAGATGACATCCTCCAATTTGAGAAAACTGCTCAATTGCTCATGGGAAAGAGTGCCGAGCATCTGGCTCTCGGCCAATTCTTCGCCATGACATTCATTCCGCTTATGGGCATATTCGGAAGTGTGCACCTGTTTGCTATGCTAGATGGAAGATATGTATCTCTAGCTGTCCGTGGGATCATAGCGGGGTATGCTATGCTTGTGGCTACGTACGGAACGGTGATGCACACCTTCTTCACAGGTAGGTGGTAAAAGACATGTTGGGTCAAGCTATGCCCACTCATTAAGTGGGGGTATAGGTATGTGTACGTGTATGTGGTATTGCTAGCTGCGTGCTCCGGATATGTTACAGGATTACGTCCCGAGTGCAGTTTTGCTTTTTGTAAAATATAAACTCTTTACGAGATCATTACGGGTAAGCGAAAACTCAGATTTATGCGCAGCACAATGACTCATGTTTTCTGCGCATGTTAGCTTTCTATGTGCAAGTAGAATTGATAATAACATACATATTTGTTTAAGAATATAGAAATGTATTTGTGTATACTTCCCTCGACTGTTTAGTAGGCGAGTGCCAGTGTTAACTTTGCACGTTTCTGTCGGCTGGTATGCTACGCTGGACACAACGCTCGTCTTGCTTCCTAGTTATCCACGAGAGACGGGGTATGCACAATTTCACAAGTATATTTCAGCTGTCTGTGTAGGGTAACTATAGGTAAAGATGGCCCGCACGCAGTGAAGCACCTATGAGTGTCATTACTCCGTGTGATTCAGAGTCACTTGTCAGGCACCATTCATGGCGATGCAGTGTACTCCTTGTCGCAATTTTGAAATACCACAGAATAAATACAACATACACATACACACATAACAACATAATGGATACATATATAAAAATTCATACATGCAAAAGCAAGGCAAGTAGCACCCCGAGGGATGCACACCAGTATTCGCAGAGGTGTATTACGCGGAGCAGCAGTTTATCATACAGACGATGAGCCACTCCAGATTTCTTCTTTAAATAACTCGAGACTGGTCTAAAAGGCAAAAAAAAAGTTTTGAAAGCGTTAGGTCCACTTACTGCGAAGTGTCTAGTATCGCCGCAGTATATCTCTCACGGTCGTAGCGACATTTAATTATATTTGGCAGTGTCTTACAATCTAGAATGCGAACGCTTGCATAAACTGAGAAAAAATATAGGTGCACCTTTAAGCACCCAATATCGTTTAGAAATTATATGGCTGTGCTTTCTATATGTCCGCATTGATGGCTGCTGGCGAGTTTATTGAATCATGGAACCTTATACCACACCATATAGTTGTGTATGTAAACTCATGGTTGTTGAATGTGCATGCGTCGAAAAATATACAAGGCTGACGAAGTGTTCTGAAGAGTATATACGAGTGAAAGCATTATCTAAGTGCATAGTACACTGTATGATGTACTTCTGCTATATTCACTGTGTGTTTTGTCCTGCGCCCAACGACCGATGTATATACCTTAACTCTAATCGACTTCAATTATATATATATATATATATATATATATATATATATACACACACACACAACACACACACACACACACAC